TACTCAAATGAACCAAGTACTGTTTTAATAGTGAACATTTTTTGTTCGTGTACAGTTATTCTAACGAGCTGACATGTAATCAATAGGGTTTTCAAAGGCTTTGCCTATTATCCTTACCAAATAAACTGAAATAAACTGAAACATACTTTTAAGTGGCTTTTTACATACATGGAAACTTCTCCACCTCGGAGGTCCGTCCTGTCTCTTCTAACCAGTTAGTATCCTAATCGGGCTAATCCGCAATCACCAAAATTCTGTAACTGCCAGGTTCACCCAGCTTGGAATACAGACCTTGGCACTGGTGTACAAGAATTTAAGTTCGAAAACCTCGGCAGTGCTTAGTTCGGTTTGTCTCGAGTTTGTCAATATTATGTTACCGCCGTCTCCGTGGAGAACCGCTGGTGTCCACTGCGAGACACGGTCCAGTCGACGGCGCTCGCCGTCCTCGGTCGCGCTCCCCGCCAACACCAGGACTGGTTCGACGACAACGACGCCGACATCAGAAATCTGCTAGCTGAGAAGAACCGCCTACACAAAGCCTACGTAGATCACCCCACTGAGGACAACAAAGCTGCCTTCTACCGCAGTCGCCGACAGCTTCAGCAACGACTGCGCGAGATGCAGGACGCCTGGACTGCTCGCAAAGCTGAGGATATGAATGGGTACGCGGACCGCAACGAATGGAAGAACTTCTTCTCTGCGATCAAAGCTGTCTACAGTCCGCCGACGAAAGGCACCCCTCCTCACCTCAGCGCCGACGGCAGCACTCTCCTGACTGAGAAGACGCAAATCCTGCAGCGATGGGCCGAGCATTTTCGAGGCGTCCTCAACCGCCCCTCCGTCATCTCCGACGCCGCCATCGAGCGTTTGCCGCAAGTGGAGACCAACGTGGACCTCGACCTCCCGCCATCTCTCCAGGAGACCATCAGGGCCGTGCAGCAGCTCTCCAGCGGGAAAGCACCCGGATCGGACGCGATCCCTGCTGAGGTCTACAAGCGCGGAGGTCCCCAACTAATGGATCACCTGGCTGCGCTCTTCCAAGAGATGTGGCGTCAAGGTGAAGTCCCGCCAGATTTCAAAGACGCAACCATCGTGCATCTCTACAAGCGAAAAGGGAATCGCCAAGTCTGCGACAATCACCGCGGCATCTCCCTGCTGAACATCGCCGGGAAGATCTTCGCTCGCATCCTGCTCAACCGCCTCAATAACGATCTGGAACAGGGCCTTCTGCCGGAAAGTCAATGCGGCTTCCGTCGTCATCGTGGGACCACGGATATGATCTTCGCCGCCCGTCAAGCGTGAAGGATTGTGGAAGATCATGCAGAAATTCGGCTGTCCGGAGCGATTCACTCAGATGGTGCGTCAGCTGCACGACGGTATGATGGCGCGAGTCACGGGCAACGGAGCTGTCTCAGAGGCATTCGCAGTGACCAACGGAGTGAAGCAAGGCTGCGTACTGGCGCCTACCCTCTTCAGTCTTATGTTCTCTGCCATGCTGATGGACGCCTACCGCGACGAACGCCCCGGGATCCGCATCGCCTACAGGATGGACGGTCATCTCCTGAATCAACGGCGGATGCACTTCAAATCGCGCGTATCCACAACCACCGTGCACGAACTCCTCTTCGCCGACGACTGCGCCCTGAACACCACCTCGGAAGAGGAGATGCAACAGAGCATGGACCTGTTCTCCGCCGCCTGCGAGAACTTCGGTCTGGTCATCAACACGCAGAAGACGGTCGTGATGCACCAACCGCCACCCAACTCGGCCACAACCCCCAACGCGCCGCCGCAAATCAGCGTGAATGGGACCCAACTGCAAGTGGTGGAGAACTTCCCATACCTGGGCAGTACTCTCTCCCGCAACACCAAGATCGACGACGAAGTCGCCAACAGGATCTCGAAAGCCAGTCAAGTCTTCGGTCGCCTCCAAAGCACAGTTTGGAATCGTCATGGTCTCCAACTGAGCACGAAGCTTAAGATGTACAAGGCCGTCATCCTGCCGACACTACTGTATGGAGCGGAGACTTGGACGGTGTACGCAAAGCAGGCACGTCGTCTGAACCACTTCCGCCTCAGTTGTCTTCGTCGCATCCTGAGGCTGAAGTGGCAGGATCGAATCCCTGACACTGATGTGCTGGAACGGACGGGAATCCTCAGCATCTACGCCATACTGAGGCAAATTCAGCTGCGCTGGAACGGCCACCTTGTGCGCATGGACGACGAGCGACTACCCAAACGACTCTTCTACGGAGACGTCGCGACGGATTCTCGCCGTCAAGGAGGCCAGATTCGCCGTTACAAGGATACCCTGAAGTCCTCCCTGAAATGCCGGCAAATCAACCCCACCAACTGGGAGGAGCTCGCACTCGATCGACCGACCTGGAGGAGAACAGTGAAGACAGGCGCTGCGATCTACGAAGCCAACCGCATCGGTGCCGCCAAAGCGAAACGTGAAGCCCGCAAATCACAACTTCGCCCAGTAAGCAACGCCGCCGCACAACCGCTTCCAACGTGTCCTCGATGTCAACAGACATTCCGGGCTCGAATCGGACTTGCTGGACATCTTCGGATTAACTGGTCAGTCGACCATGACAGCCACCGCGCCCATTCCCCAGTCCAGTCTGCTGACCGGCTCGGACAGCGGCTGGGGTGTGGGAGTGGGAAGGGAGAGTGAGGTCGACGACTCAGCGCACTTTCTCCTCACTATAAACAAGCTGACGCGCTTGAAGCTATCACGGTGCGCTAAAAGCCGTGGCTTGGAGGGTTGCAAACTGACTGGGTATCTTGGACCTCCTCCTTGACCGGAGGCGGTCTGAGAGTCAGGCTGCAATGGCTCCTTTTTAATGTGGCCTTTATGGCACTCCCATCACAGTGTGGGATCCGAGCCAGGCGTTGGCGGCACGCCCAGGTGGGGCTTCGGTCGTGCCAGCCTCCAAATCTCTCTTCTGTTGGCTGAAATCCTGGTTATTTGTTGTGTGGGCCAGGGGGTGTGGTGGAACGCCAAGGTGAGGATCCGTCCGAGCCATCCACCTGCGGCCTCTCTCGTCTCCGGTCTTCTTGACACTGTCTTGACACCGGGCTCGGGCGAGGGAGGAGGAGAGAGTGTAGGTAGATGCTACGCAAGTCTACCGGCACTATAAACCCCCTGCGTAAGTCACCGTCCCTGCTCCCATTGCTGCTGCAACTGTGGGGCACACGGTGGACATCATCGAAACCGATGGTCGAACTGTCACCGCCGCCATGATGACCAGTGGCTGATTCCAGTTCCGTGTTAAGGTCCGTCAGAAATTCTCGGCATTTAAGGCGTTCCGCTGGAGAGTTGAGCGGCTGAAAAAAACCCTGTATGAATTTTGGAGGCTGTTTTTCCTGAGCAGTTGCAAATTACGCTCTTTTTTGCTGCCCAAGAACAATTTAAGAAGTCGTGGCCGCACACTTTTCCCATTCTTACAAAATCTTTTCCGATCGTGAGGGCTTCTGAAGTGGTTACATCATCATTCGGATTATGCATCTCATTTAGCAGGTGATGAAAAATATCACGGTCGGCGGAAAACTTTTTTGGGGTAGGAGCATTCGACGCCCGTTAGCCCTAGAAGACTACGCAATTCTATCGACCAAGGGATCTTTTGTTCTAGTTCCGGCCGTATTGTCACCTGAATATTCGATAGCTGATAAGTTAGCTTACTAACTTGGATTCAATAGGAACTGACAACGTCCCGAACTCTCTTATAAAACAGGTAAGAGATTTTCATCCTTTGCTCAGCAAACTTACACTTCCTTTTGATATTACCGCACTCTGGCTCCACTTAAGGATGACAGGCAGATTTTTTAAACCTTGATTGTTAGGTGGCTGCCTTCAAATATTGAACCTGCTCGCAGGGCCTTCCCCTTTCTACAACGGCTACAACTAAAGACTACACCATCCGTGTTTTCCTGAGAATTTGCTGTTGCATTGTCCAAAGGCATCTGCATTTCCAACTTTGGACTGCAGACCCTTGTCTTGGCGATATTGCATCATCTTATCGAAGTTTAGTAATTCCATTATCTCCTCAACTGCTGTTAGTATGTCCCTCTGGTGTCATCTGCGTTTTACAGTTTGTTCAGACGGTGGCCTGCTTTAAAAAAATAAATTCACGATTTATCGCTATTTGTAACTATTGCAACGATCTTCCACTTACAGATACATGGACGGACTGCCTTTACTTGTTCCACTATTCAGGGTGAGAATTTGTTTTCGATGGCGTAATACTTGAAATTTACCACGACTTATTTCCATAGCATATAACTACATATCAATTTGTAAGCCATATCCATTTACATTATTGGACTTGACTTTATTTTTTTAATCGTTCTTACTGTCACTTAGCCTAACTTGTCATTCTTCTTTCTTGTTCTTTTTTGCATTTTAGTTAAATCTTCGCAGTTATTGCGTATCCTGGTATAGCTCTCAGCCTGTGTTATATGCGCGTTTAATAATTGGCTGCTATTTCCCTGAAACCCGGGCTTCCGTTATTCAGTTCACGGCGGTTTATTCAGCTGCCTGAGTTACCCTGACTACCGTTTTTGGTTTGTTTTTCGAATTCGTGCGCTTACTTACCATTTACAATCTAAGCCCATTAGAAGACTTTCGATGTTATTTTACACTCTTTATCATTATTATTTTCTCGAATTCCTCTTGTGTGCATCCGAAGGCCCCACCCGTATATCCCCTATTACCCCCATCCCCGTTAGACAGGGTCATAAGGTTATCTGTTGCTGACCCCGAGGGCAAACCATACCCTCGCCTGGTTTCCTCCATCTCTGCACCAGACCCTGCTTGACTTGTAAATCTTGACCCCTGCCAGTCGTCCTTGAGCATTCGCCGTTTCCCATCATTACTTATCCTCGCGCGTCCTCTATTTCAAACGCACTTTTCTTCTTCGCTTTCACATATACCTCCATTTACAGTGACCAGCCAATTGACTTTGTCATCATCTGGTCTCGCAGTATTTAAGAAATAATTTCGGATCTGCCCTGATACTAACTCAGCTAAGTCTTCACTTTCCTCATTCCTGCCTCTAACCTTTTTTCATATCGTTGACGACCGACGGTCGTGATTTAGACCTATATAACTTACTGCCGTTTATACCTTCCTGTCCTTAAATCTGAAATGTCGCTCCAAGTGCACATTGCTGGTGCGCAATTTCTGTCCTCTGCATGATTTTGTAGGGTACCGTCAGTCAGCAGGAATCACCTTTTTGCGGTTCGCGATTCTTGGGCGTCCCGGAACGGAGTGGCCAGTTTAGCCCGTCTTCCTCGCAGACGGCGTGTGTTATTGTGTGGCCGTAGTTCTGCTTGTGTATACTAGCAACCGGAATCTGCATGAGACGCGCCTCAGGTTTCCTACAAGCAAGCGTATGCGCACGCATAGATGCAGGCTTCGGTCAACCGCAAAATGCTCCATTAAATACGGTTGAGTAATTAACTGTTTTTATACATGAACCACAAGTCTGACAACGAGCTGGGGGAACAGTCGTGAAACTTTACGCCGTACAGATTTTCTTGTTCGCAAAAAATGTCACCCATTTTAAACTGTATTTCTTGGGATGCCGTTTTCCAAAACACACATATGTAATGGTGGGGGGGGGGGGGACGCTCACCGATCGCGCTACGGGACTCCCTCGTCCAGTTGTGCCTGGGGACTCTCTCTATTCCCAACCCCCGTCAACAAACGCATAATGGCGTGTAATTTTGGCAGAATAGCATTACCAGCAAAGACAAGGAGACCGGAAGGGCCATTTCTAGCTTGTTAGTCGTCGTCAGCCGACCACACTTGACCCAACGTGTGGAACGCCTGGGGTTCGTTCCGGTGACCTCTCGGTTAGATGTCTACTGAGCCACAAGCTAGCTGTTCTGTCGGTTACGGTCGGTTAGTGTTAATCCGCCTATTTATACACGTAAAAATTATCTATATATAGACAGAATAGTAAAAACCGACAGGCAAAGGCCACTGCAATGGTCATTTCAGGCTTTTTAGCCGTTGCCAGCCAGTCATACCCCACCCCGAAATGTGGAACACCTGGGGTTCCATTGGTTTCCCGAGGCGGACATGCTTTGTATGGATGACAGCGGTCACGAACAGGCAACCATCTACCGGACCGAAGTCGTTTAAGTTATGATAGTTATGGCCGACTGTCCTTTCATTCCTGCCATTATTAATGACCCTGGTTGACATCTAGTGCGGATTAGTTGGCGCCCCTTCCTTTTTACCCTGAAATCTTTGTACATGGCGTATAATTCAGTGTGCTAATATTCCAACGTCACCCAAATATTTCGGTACTATATCAAATACTCATGCGCGTTCCGGTTTCAATTGAGCACTGTTTTCTGGTCCCTAACGCACCTCCCAAAATAGTCGATGTTTGTGACTCTCTGCACATATTGCTTTCCTGAGCCGAAAGTATGAACAAATGCTTAACGACCATCTACCGTTACATGACGCACTTGTCACAATCAGAGATACAAGAATAGGTTAATTGTAGCAGCCCTCTAGCACTGTCAGTCCCCTTAGAACAGAGCAAATAACCTTAAACAGGCTCACTCATTTCGGCTGCAGCTGACGGAGAGCGAGTGACTACGAGGTCACCTGCAGTGCAGCACACACGACCATAAGTCGGTTAGTCTGTAGATTTGAAGTTAAAGGGTATAAACACACGCTCTAAACTGAGATTTCGGGTATTTTGTGGCCATTCGAGCCTAAAATCAGCGATCACAATTCTGTCAATAATACACGCAAGGTGCCTGGCGAAGAAATGATTTTGATTTTAACATCGTCAAAACTGCAGACTAATGTGGGGTCACTGGGGTTGAACAACTGAAGGAGACGTTTCTGACTGTCAACAACATAATCGAACAGCCTGCGGCTAGTTGGGTATATGTCACTAGGCAAGAGAATGTGGGTCAGGTAGACTTCAGTGACCTTAGTTCTAATTTGAGCACTATCATCGGGCATCTAGCCTGTTAACCGTTTATTAGTAGGCTTGGCAGCTTTGGAGTGTGAAGTGGCAGAGCCCAAATTACATTCTTCAAGATGACACGTTGGTATAAATCAGTTTTCAATTCTGTGCAATTCTTTCATGAATTGGCAGAAAAAGTCCTTTGCTTTTATTGTAGTATGCGTTATGGAGAAGGGGCTTACTACAGTCCCCGAGAATTTGAGGAAACTTATATTTTTAGGCATCTGTTACGAAATGAGTCTATCGAATTTCACCTGTCTTGTTTCAGAAGTGTTTATCGCCGCTGCATCATTCTAAACGGCATGCGCCTTCTCAGACGCAGCACGTACCTTAACCTAGGTGAGCATCGGTACCCCTTGGATAAACACAGTGGACAGCTCTGGATAACAAACCTACTCGAGTCACAAACCTTATCTTTACTCTTCCATTCATATATGATTTCCACAGTTGACTTGACGGGCTTGTCTAATCAAAAGACCTCATCGCGGAAGAAAATGTGATTCCAACAAAAGGGTCTTTAATCAGCATAATTTTCAGGAAAAAGTCACCAAGTGACTTTTCTACATTAAAGGTCCATTTTCTTGGTATTTTGTTCAAGTTCAAATCCCTGCGCCCCTTCCCCAATTATGATGATATGGGACATCGCAGATGTTCCCTGTGAATGGTCGCTGCGGAGACATGATAGTATTCTTGTCTTTGACGAATAAAATCGTTGTCTTGCTGACCTGTTGACCGTTTTGGTCCTCCCTGCTTATTCCTGTGCCCAGTTCTATCATACACAATCTGAAAACTAACACTGAAATTACGCAAGGCTCGACTACTCTGTCCGAATTCCAAGTGTAAGCGCAATTTGGACAATAAAAGTATAGCAAGCCGAAGGAGAATGCTGAAATCGTTAGTGGGAAAGCAGGCGACGCTATAACGAAAAAGCGCAAACTGATATTTCGGTTACGAGTTAGAGTTAATGTTATGATTAGGTCTAGTGTCAGGTTTAGAAGTGACTTTAGGGTTAGAGCTTGCGTTAAGTTGAAGTTTTTTTCCTGTGTTTAAAGGACGCTATAAAAAACCTATTCTATGCTATTCTAGAGTTTTGTTTAGGTTTACGGTTCGGATTAGGGTTTGGATCACGGTTCAGGTTTACGTTCAATGTTAAAGTTCGGGTTAGATTTAGTGTTTGAGTTCCGGTTCCGGTTAGGGTCATGGTTAGGGTTAGGCTAAAGGTTTGTGTTAAGTTTAGGGTTAGCGTTAGGTTTATAATTCCGTTAAAGTTTGGGTTTACTTTTGAGGTTACGGTTAGGATCAACGTTAGGTTTTGGGTTTTGCTGCCCTGCGTGTCCTGACTGCCAAGTCTTTTGCTGGGATTGTGGGCTCCCATTATCCTCGCGACAGAATAGTAGCACATCAGATCCCCCTTTACATTTTAGCTTTGGCTACTTTCCCACTAACAGGGCTCGTCTTTTGAGTTCGGTTTGGAATTTTCGACCTTCGAGTGATTTACCTTTTTCGGGATTTTTGTCTACTGGACGCTTTGCGGGCCCATTTGGATTTAGAAATTAAAGCGTAATCAGTAATTCTTCAGACGATCCACACGGGACTCCAACAGAACTTTCTTTAGGACAACCATTCTCCATCGGATCACTTCGCTGCCAACAGCACCGGGGGACCCTCCAGATCCAAGGACAACTGAGTCGTTCTTTATTTGTTTCATATTGTTGTCCTGGTTAAATATCTCCTCCTACACATTTAAATACTTCGTTTCATACGTTGAATACCTTGCGCATCCTTTGAATTCATAATGGGAGTCGATAAAACACCTTCAGAACAATGTGCAAAAATGTCGCTGCAAATGAGACACGAATTCAGGTACCACCGCGGGGTGACCAACTAGATCACCACTACACTACCGGCCCACGAGAAGCAGGCCGAAATAAGCAAGGGAGCAAACATTGGCCGTAGTACAAATGGCAACAATTCCGTATATATCGCTGTCAGGTCACCTCCTGCCAAACGAGCAAGGAGTTTAATAAGTTGTATGGATATCAAATACGACGACGACGCCTGTACGACATGTTTCGGACTGCTTCAAAAATTTGCGGCAATGGAGAAGGAGATTAAGGGTCTTAAAGTGGAGATCTAGAAGTTAAGGATTATCCCTTGCTATTCATCCAAAGAGAAATTATCGGCGACATCCAAAATTGAGGAAAGTGAACGAACATACGCCAACACGGCTTCCTCGGCTGTGTCGACAGAGGAGAAAGGAGAAATAGGTCTCCAGAGCTCGATATGAATGACAACCAGTGTCTTTTGCGAGAAAATGTTGTCAACACGCGATCTCAGCGAACACAAAATGTCTCAGAGCACCTCAGAAAGGCACAGAGAGCCAGACAAGGGAGCAAGAGGTGACTACACCGCAAACAAAGATCGTGCTGCTGAAAATTCAAAATCATCAAGAGATCATAGTAAACAGGCAGTCACACGTTAGTCCTGCCGAATCAAATCTTCCTAAATCGGTGAATGGCGGTAGTCGGGATATCCGGGGCGAAGTCTCTGCATGTATGATTAAACCACAAGGACCTCTGGTTGATCTCAATAGATGCATTGTCATAAAGGGCATGCCTGAGTCTGTTCCCGACACTGCAAAGGACAGAATACAGTATGACATCGAAATATTCCAGGAATATCGCAAATCGGTCTTAAGAGAACACGAGAAATTCACCGTATTAAGGGCTTTCAGGATGGGCCAAATAAACGACTCAAAACATAAACCAGACCGATCAAGACTGACAAAAGTTGTCTTCCAGAATAAGAAACAAGTGCATCTACTGTTGGGCAGGAAATCTACACTCCAAGATGCGCATCCATCTGTTTTTATTTAGCGGGACTTTTCACCCGCGAAGAGAGAAAAATGGAGGGGGCCCAAGTTGGAAGTTCTCAGGCCGTCGAGCATGGGCGAGAAAAACCGCAGAATACTGAACGTGAAAATTATATATGTCCACAGGCCATTACTCAGGAGAAAGCGCGTAATCATAACAACTTAGGAGTGATGGAAAGCGGTGCACCCTGACCAGCTCCAGCCGGCTTCTGCATTCAATCCCATGAAACAGCCAAACTCCCGTATGCCGGAGTTACTCATGCCAAATTGTGATTTTTGTATGCTAATGCTCACAGTCTGTTTTCGAAGATCGACGAACGCAACGCGCTAGTTTCAGAACGACTCTCCTAAGTCGTTGTCATAACGGAAACTTGGCTTAATGCTGAAATCGTGGATGCCGAGATTTCGATACCGGGTTACCAGCTCTTTCGTAGAGACCATCAAAATAGACAGGGCGGTGAGGGTGTAAAGGCTGAAATTTCGGCGGTTGAACGAGCCCACACCCTCTCCCTTTAGTAGGAATTCGCCTGGATAAAGATAAAGAAGATTAGCGCACAAAACATAGAAATCCTGGCGATTTACAGACCACCAAACCTTCCAAGTGCAAGTGATGAGCCGCTCATTCATTTATTCAAGGGCGTAGATGGCCATCAAGAGATTTTTATTGCTGGGGATTTCGACGCACCTGCAATAGAGTGGAAGACTATGGTAGTTAACGGTGGGTCGACTTTCTTCAGCAATAAGTTAACAGACTTCACAATCGATCTCACTCTGGCACAACATGTGAAGGTACCAACAAGATTTTGAAAGAACCAGAAAACGAATTTCCGGGACCTAGTTAACACTAAAGACTTCTCAAATATCGACGAAGTGTATTTTAATGCACCTCTCGGGAAAAGTGACCATACTACGCTACTACGGGATTACTCGCTCTTCTCTCAACGCCAGCAGAGAACAAAAGGCCAACCTAATATATGGAAGGCAGATTTTAACACGATGAAGGACGAATTCATGTCCGTGAATTGGGATCACTTGCTCAAGAGAGAACGGAGGACTAATGGAGATCGTTTAAGACGATTTCAATCGACCTACTTCGGCTCTGTTGTCCACCTAAACTTCAAAAAACAACTAGTCGACCTGCGAGGTTAGCTAGTAGTCTGAATAGGCAGTTACAAAAGAAAAGTAAAATATGGAAAATATTCAGGGAAACTGGTTCACCGGTGCATCTCAAAAAATTTCGACGTCTGCAAAATGCAGTAAAAAGTACATCGGTCAGGCACGGATGGAGTATGAATCCAAAATTACCCGACAGGGCGAACAGAAGTCCAAGATTTTATTTTACTATCTTGACAGTACACTAAAAACAAGGTCGCGGTCGCAGTACTGAAGGATGATAATGGTGCAGAAATCATTGAGAACAGCGGGAAAGCCGAACACAAAGGACGGCATTTTGCCTCGGTTTTTATTAGGGACGCAGAGTTTCGTTGTCGCAGTGCCAGCAATGCTGTCGAGACAACTGGTCCCGCGTTTGACGCCATAATTTTTCCGACATTTGTCATGAAAAGGGAGCTGCAAAATCTCAGAGACGCAAAGTACTCAGGTTCGAACAATATACCGGCCAAATTTTTGAAAGAAATGACGAACGAACTCTCCAAACCACTGACGTACAGCTTCCGCTCGTCATTCGAATTAGGGAGACTGCTATCGGAACGGAAGACGGCAAATATCTTTCCGATATACAAGGACGGGGCTCGCATCAATGTTAACAATTATCGGCCTGTTAGTCTCACCTGCATATGCTTTAAAATAATTGAGGCCATAGTCAAGAAGGCAACAATGCAGTTCCTGGAGCAGAACAACTTACTCTCAAACCTGCAGTACGGCTTCAGACAGAACCGCTCGTGCCTTTCCAGTTTATTGCTCTCGACGGAGCAGTGGACTCACGCACCGGACGAGAGAGTTAGGATCGATGTTATCTACACGGACTTCAAGAAGGCGTTCGACAGCGTCCCACACAAACACCTTATCTACAAACTTTCTTAAATTGGGATAGGTGGTAGGCTGCCGACATGGATAACAGATTTTCTTACAGGGAGATCGCAAACCGTGTGCGTTGAGGACTCGAGGTCAACTCCTAGCCCCATTTATAAGTGGCGTTCCCCAGGGGTCCGTCTTAGGACCTTTGCTATTCCTTGTTTATAGTAACGACTGCGTCGACGACCTGAGATGTGGCGCCATCATGTTTGCTGACGATGTTATGCTGTGGAGAGCCATCAGATCTGACGCAGACAGGTACGCGCTTCAAGACATTCTCAACCGCATGAACCGTTGGCCAGCTCGTTGGCTTCTAACTTTTAGTGTGGACAAATGTGTGGCCCTGAGACCCCGTACCAAAAAGACCAGTAAAGAGGACGATTCCTTCCAATACGTCCTGGGTGAGCAGCCTCTTTCAAATGTTGTGGAACAGAAAGACCTCGGCGTCCTAATGACCTCCTCGCTGAAACCATCCTCACAATGTCAAAGGGTAGCCAAACGTGCGATAAGGGTGTTATTTGGGATGAGGTGAGGATTTGTGCAGATCGATAAAGAGTTCTTCGTAAAAACCTATGTACATTCGTCTGGTCTCACTTAGAGTATGCAGTCCAGGCCAGGCGACCGTGGTCAAGGAAAGCTTATCGACAAGTGGAAAGAGTACAGGCGATGGCTACGAAGATGGTCAAGAATCCTGATCATCTGCCTTACGAAACCAGGCTGGCCGAACTAAATCTGTTTCCTCTCAATTACAGGCAACTGCGCGGCGATCTCATTAAAATTTACAAGATTGTCAGAGGCCGTGAATATGCCCTGGAGTGTGGTGAATTTTTCGAATTGACCAGGACTGACCGTCTGCGTGGTCATCCCTTCAAAGTGCAGAGGAAGCTGGCTTATTCGGACGTCCGACAGAACGTCTTCTCTCACAGGGTCATTGGAGCCTGGAACGGACCCCCTGATGCGGTGGTTCTTTCCGAAACTGTCGAGTCCTTTAAGTTTAGACTAGACGCTCATTTGCGGAGAAACTAATGTACACATAATCACGATTGTTTTAGCGGCGGCAGTTTGCGCCTGGCTCACACTTACCGTTAACTCCTGCATTTCCACATTTGTTGATGTAATAATTGATACTATTTCTGTTTATCGATATGGAGAGGGAGCTCAAGGGTGAAAGCCTCATTCCTTTAATGAACTGACTGAATTTCAGCATCCTCATTCGGCCCCACTTAGAATATGGCATACAAGCATGGCCGCCATGGCTTGTAAAGGAGCAAGCATGCCTCGAACGGGTGCAACGTAGGGCAACAAAGATGGTAAGCTGTCTAAAAAACCAATCCTACACGGACAGACTGAATTGCCTTAATCTATTCCCTCTGTGTTACAGGCAGCAAAGAGGTGATCTAATCCTGGTTTACAAGATAATAAATGGCCTTGAGCATGGACTTAGCTTTGAGGACATGTTTCAGTGGCACCTTTAACCCAATCTTCGTGGCCACTCGATGAAGCTACGGACAACAATGTCCAGGCTGAACCTTCGTTCTGAATTTTTCACGCAAAGGGTACTGGAGAAATGGAACGATCTCCCTCAGTCAGTCATGGAGGCGACATCCCTGCAACTGTTCAGGAAACGCTTGGATGATTATTTGTGCTATTTATATAGCGAATATTTTCATTGTTACTGTACTGTTATTTCTAACGAGCTGACATGTAATCAATAGAGTTTTCAAAGGCTTTGCCTATCATCCTTATCAAAATAAACTGAAATACTTTCCTTTCACTGTCCGGAAAAGCTCGCTGCCGACCCACACGATCGACCGTCTGCAGAAAATTTCCGTTCGTAGTCGACTGCAGATAAAATCTATCTGGAGGACCTTATCGTACAACGTGATTCATAAAACTGTCAGTATGCCGCGGATACTCATTTTAAGTTTGTTTGGACAAAGTGATTCTCAGTGTGATAAAAGGACAACAGTATCGTTTGTCACCATACCTGCAAGTTACACCTAAATTTTCCTGCCTACTCATTTAGGCAGCTTTTCTGACGACTTACCTGGTACAAGATTGCAAAAGACGATATGCGGTAAGGGAAACATATGGTTTCGAATTTAGCCTACATTACCGACGTCTTTGTTTCCCGTTCTGTCGCAGAGCCATATACGCTGCTGTTGCCACTGAGACAAACTACTATTAACCAAGATTATGGTCAAATTGTACAATACAAAACGCTGTAAATTTTCAAAACGAAATCTTTGAAATCGGATCTGCTAAATATTTCTGGAATATACGCCCTCAAAGGTCGATTTTCTGCCTTCACAAGGGATTCATTGGTTGCTTATATTGGTGTTCTTTTATTATATAACGCGAATAAATAAGCCGTTTTAGCCTGTACAATTTCGTAACTTAGACATTCACTTGTGTGTCAGTTTCACTTAAATCTGGCAGCTGTTATTTCTGTACAGTAGACCTCAAATGAAATATTCAATGACCGACTTTCTGGGACAGGAAGCAATCCACAAATGGGGAGTAAAACACCACGGCTTGTCATGTTACCCGCCTAAATTCCGATCACGAAATTTCACTAGTTGGGCCATCGATTGTACTGGTCAAAAGAATATTAAACAATTGTTAATTTAGCTCCATACTCATTATGGACAATATTATTGGGTATTTAGAAACGCAGACGTTTCATTATAATTTTTTTAGATTACACAATGCAGGATAAGGCGACTGATTTTTGCATTGCATCATTTGCCAAACTGTCGAGAAATTTTAGTATGTCCAGCCTCCATGCTGTACGACTGGTTGAAGCTAATGGCCCTCGCTGCTTGAGGAAGATGTCGTAGATGCCGCTGAAATATGTCCCCGCAAAATGAAGCAATTTGTGTTTTGCCAAATCGCTCGAAATAAGGTAAAATTCGGAAACCGCATCCACATTTTTTAAACTGAATTCAAAGGAATCCAAAA